TACACGTACACGTACACGTACACGTCTACGTCTACGTCTACGTCTACGTCTACGTCTACGTCTGCGTCTGCGTCTACGTCTACGTCTACGTCTACCCGTACGCGGACGCGGACGCGGACGCGGACGCGGATACGTATGCGTATGCGTATGCGTATGCGTATGCGTATGCGTATCGGTGTCGGTGTCGGTGTCGGTGTCGGTGTGGGTGTGGGTGTGGGTGCCGATGCGGGCGCGGGCTCGTGCGCATGCGCAGGCGCAGGCGAAGGTGTATGTGTATATATATATATGTGTATGTATGTATGTATATATATATATATATATATATATATATATATATATATATATATATATATATATATATATATATATATATATATATATATATATATATATATATATATATATATATATATATATATATATATATATATATATATATATATATATATATATATATATATATATATATATATATATATATATATATATATATATATATATATATATATATATATATATATATATATATATATATATATTTATATATATATATATATCTTTGTGTGTTTCTATATTTTCAGCATTGCAATTTGTTGAATTTTCCCAAGCCAGCAATGCGTACCTGTGAGTTCAATTCAGGTTTCCCGTGCTATTGCCATGGCTTACATTCTGCGACAATCCTGTTTTATCCAACACATCCAAACTCATTGTATCGGATGAATTTATTTGATGGGCGCTTTATATTTTACAACCAACCTGAAAGCAACATCTTTGATAGTTCTATTAAACCAGGTAAAAGCTAGTAGTAGTAACATAATTAACATACTTTTTTTTAATGGTAAAGGATGAGTAGAGTGAACATTGCTGTTCGTCTTCACTAAGCTTTATGCATTTATATTTTTAAAATTCTATCTTCAGTCAATTGGGAACCTATTGTGGACATAATCAAACTTAGTTCTCTTCGCTTTGGCTCTGGCGCATGTCTATCCGAATCTGGAAAACCACAGGTTAAGTCTGGTAAATGTTAATTTTTAATAGTTTGGTAAAATACGTTTCATTAATCACAGGCTCAACAATACAAATCCACATTTTCATTTTCAAACATGTGAACTTGAAATCGATATTTATAATGTAAACAAAAACAACAAGATTTATACGTGTACATTCTGCAATTTTCTATTAGCAAAACTGTTCGTACACTGCACATAAATTACATCAAAAACAATAGAAATGTAAAAACCACTATAAAACAATATATCCGAACTGCTAAGTACTAAATTTAGAATTTGCGAAATTACGTTTAACTTAAATTTAATTAAGCCTTACATTTTACAGCATTAGTAAATTATTTGTACCGGCTACAAAAGAAATGTGTTATATATTTAACACATTGGAGGTCTGATGTGTCAATTAACCCATCTTGTTAGATTACAATTTGATGACTTCATTGTTCATTGTTCATTTGGTAGAATATATCATTAGATAACCATGCTCTGACAAATAGTTGAATTGAGTCTGTGAATGTGATGGCGTTAATAAAACGTCCCTACACGGAATACCGTCAACCAGACGAGATTTACCTCATCAATGAGATAAAAAAAAGTCTTTTAAATATCTAATTTTTAACTTTTTAACTCAATCCACAGTACTGATCTTTGTTGGAATCGGAGTCTTGTTGGCATTTGTTCTGTCGGGACAGTTCTCAGCTTACTGGTGAATCTAAAAGGCGATTTAAATAAGTATACAATAGTGGTTACTGTATTATGTTTTCGGTAAGATAGACTAAAATAGTATTTACAGAAACTAAATGTTCGACGAACTCTTTAGAATATCAAAAAAAGAAAATATGGGCTCTATTAAGCGAGGCATTATTAGTAATTGAAGAAATGTTTTATTGTTATTTTCAAAAGTGTATTTTTGAAAGAAACTAATTAATTATGAACTTATTATATCAGGTAAATATATTTACAATTCTCAAAGAGTTTTTAGATACTAAAAAATGGAAGCATGATTGAGATACCTTTAATGTTAACTTGATAGGCATGAATACATTAATATCTGCATTTATTTTTTCCAAACTATCGAATATTTTTTGTGTTGTTTTTTAGGTTTTCTCTAGAATTGATTTTGAACATTATTCGCTAACTTAGTAATGTTTTAGTTGAAAATTAAAAAGTATAACAACACTTTCCATTACAATTGCGAATAATAGGTATACAGTTTGGTAGTTTAATTATTTATCTGATGTAGAATTTTTTTTTAATCGCTTTTGTATTTTATATGAAAGCTAAAATATATCGTCCATTGATTTAAAATGCTCTATCAAATCTGCTAAGACATTTTTATTTTATCTTGATAAGCTAGACGAAAATGATCTATGCTAAATTGAATGTTAATTTTACAATTTGTATTACAATTTTATGATTAGATTATTTTTAAATACTACTACGTTTATTTTATCCAATGCAGTGTGTTACGTTATTTTTTAAATTTAAATCAATTAAAGTTGATATACGTAAGAACAGAGTTATTTTGTTTTTTTAAATTTGAGTTAACAAAAATAATTTGACTTTCGAAGATCAAAAATGAAAATGTTTAAGTAACATAATTTTCTGCTATTTCAATATTGATAAAAAATTCATTTTACTAGTAGTCCTACTCATTATTATTGACAAAATTATAGTAAGGTGCTCTCTAAAGTTTAGCAAAACAATGGTAACGTAGAGATTAAGATTTTGATTGTTGAGGTTCGCTGTGAGACGCTACAACTTTTTATACCATCGTCATCCACTGCGGAGTTTCTCTATCCATCAGCCGTCGGTACCCTATACACATGAATAATAAGCCTATTTATTTAAATGTTATATTTGTTTGAGAAAAATATTTTATAAAATAGTTATTGGTCAAAGCGCAATGAGCTTTCCTACACATAATAGTGACAAAGCAAAAAAAATAACTTAATAGCTAAAAATCCGACACATTTATAATAACCTATTAGAAAAAATTATATACATATTAGTCAACACAACTCCATATTAAATGCACACACGGATTAAGAGAGTTAAATGCTTCCGTTAAAAACCCGGCTGTTTAATGTAATTAATGTAAAGTAATTTGTATTACTTTTGGCCGTGAAAATTGTATACATTTCATAGAGTGACATAGAGTATGTCTTGATAAGTAGATGTATAGTTCTAAACCAAATTTGAATAAAATAGTTCAATTCTTCATATTCTAAAATTGAAATATGTCGCCATTAGTTGTGTGTACTTTTCGTAGTTTAAACATGTGACATATGATGTCATTGTTTTATGCGTTCTCGGCACAACCATAAACACTTTTGCGGTTGCATGATTAAACACGAGTTTTTACATTGGAAAATGCCATTATTTTTCTTTCATTCTTTAAATAAAATATAGTTTATACATTTAAAACATCCAACATATTGTTTTTAACTAAAGTCCGTATCTTTAAGTTCTCCATATATTGCTGAACATACTAAACACATAGCCTCGAAAATGTTGCGGACAGTGTGTGTGTGTGAGAGAGAGAGAGAGAGAGAGAGAGAAAGAGAAAGAGAGAGAGATAGATATACGTTCGCACATGGGCTTTTACATATTAGGATATCCACTCCCCTATAAGTTAACACTTGCTTACAGACATCAATATATATTTAATAATATAATAAATCTTCCTACTTGAGTGTTTATTTAAAACATTGCTAATGTCAGTTTATATTAACAGCTTAACCCAAACCTACTTCTTCCATACCCAGCCTCTCACTTACTATCTCATACTCTAGACTAGTGGTCCCAACCTTTTTCGAGTGGCGACCCCCTTTTATAAAAAGTAAGTGACCCGCGACCCCCATAGAATTAAAAAGCCGAAATTAGTTTGGAAATTAATAAGCACTAAAATAAGATTGTCTAGTAGACTTTCAATATGAACTACTCTTGATAACTATTTTAATAGCATGAGTAAAATTGCATACTATTCACTAAGCCTTCGTGGTTAAGTTTTTAATTAAAAAATTTTTTGTTAACGCCAACTTATGTCATTATAATTATCTTAATTTTATTTGTAATCGAAGAATAGTGTTGAAAATATATTCTCGAAAAGTCAATCAATTTTACGTTTGGGTATGAATGGTGAATACTAACCAAAATTGTGTATGCAGTTTTTCATCTTACTCGGAATCATTCTGTAAATCAAAGAATTCATTTTGTAATTCATCGGGAATGCTGGCAACATCAAGGGAAGAAGAGAATGGGTAATGCGTAAATGCAGATTCTACTTTTTTCAGCTCAGATAAATAGCAATGCAGTTCGTTTTCAAGAGATTCAAGATGACCAGAAATCGCTTTTTTCAAAATTTTACTTATCTCACAGATTCATCTACCACACCGCAGAGTTTCTCAAATTGACAATATTTCCAAGATTTATTTTCTTTACCGATTTTGCAGCTTTGATAAAAATGCCCCGAGATTATCATGGAAAGTTATAATATTCGTTCATTTTCCCTGAAGCTTTAGGTTAAGCTTATCTTGATGTTCGAACATATCTGCTAGGTATGATACTCTCTCCAACCACTCTATGTCGTTTTAAGTATACCAAAACGTCTTGTTTCCTTTGCACTTCCAAGAACAATTTGATTTCAGATTTCAATTCAAAAACACAATTTACAACATTTCGTTTGACAGCCAGCGTACTGAAGTGTATAAGAGCAGAACCTCTTGATCGATATAATAATGTTTTTGCTCAGTTCTTTGAAGGCTCCAGATTTTATTTAATTTACGACTTATACTAGCAATGAACTCTTGATGTCGATTGGTTAGGGCAGTGGTTAGAGAGCTAAATCTTTTCTGTTTTCTGAAAGCCCGATTTGGAGCTAAACATAAATGACACACTATCCGTACAAACCCCCAAAGCCGTTGTGACCCATTTTAATCATCCAGTTTCAAAAAAGGTATTTATTTTCTCCATGCTATCTTCACAAAAGAGCAACTCATGAATATAGACACAGACCAGCAACTGCGAACACGAACTCACGTCTGTTGATTTATTAACTTGAAAAGCAAACAATGGTGAAAGCTTAATTTCGATAACAATGTGTTATTTAACATTTGCGTACATGCAGCGTTTGATGAGATTTTCTCCTATTGTTTTTTTTTTTGCTTGGCATTTTGTATCGCGACTTCATTTGATGGTTGCACTAATGCTGGTGAAAACTTCCTGTCGATCAAGTCTCTGGCGTTTGCAACTAGCTTCTTACCGACGAAAGAACTCCATATATTTTTTGGTCTGTTCCGAATGACTCGTCTCAAATGGCGTTTTAGTTTTGAAGATTTCATAGATTCGTGACTGAGAACAGCTTTGTACAGTGCGCTTTGTTTCTTCTCTATTACATTTCCAGTGATGTTAATGAAGCCGAATTTTAAAAAAAATTCTTCTAAATATTTATGTTTTGTTTCAAATTACTAAGGTTTAGTATACCAGTTGGCGACCCCCCCCCCCCCCCCAGAAAGACCTTCGCGACCCCCAGTTTGGGAACCCGTGCTCTATGGCAACAACGTTGTTTCAACATTCTACGTCACTATCTTACCATGCGCGTCACATCTTACTTGGTTCAGCATAAACTATTCATTTAATGTTTTAATATATTCAGTGTTGGAATTGGGTAAACATCACAAAAAGTGTTAAAGAGTTCAGTGTTAAACATGTAATCACGAGCTGGCTCATATTATCGGAACGCAGATTTTAATACTAAATTTCAACATAAACATTCCATTCCAAGAAACTGCGTAGGAGAGTGGTGGAGCGTACGGAGGCTAATCCGATTGAGCTAAACACTATCTCATAGTAAGCTGTAGTGTTTAAAACAGATGAACTCCATTTCATCTCCCGCATTTGTCCTGGGCAAAACTGGAAAAAATTCGACGATGTACTTATTCCTAATTAAACATTGAACAATATAGCTTTAAAATGTTGTTACGAGAACATATTTTAATAGTGTAATATAAAATAATTTTCCAACTGAATTTATTAAAGGTATTTAATTTGGCGAACGTCTTATCAGCAGTAATAAGACTGTATTTCTTCCCTTTTTATAAGTTTTAATGAACAAAAATTATTTATGGATTGCTTTGTCAATTTAATTCAAAATTTTACAGTAAAAATTGTTCGACGCTCTGAAATGTCAAAAACATAATAACGTGAATACAAATAAAGTTAAACAAAAAAGTGCTTAAAAGATTAAGTCACCCAAAATTTAAAGAGCATTTTTGTTCCATCAAATTTGTATAGAGCGCTTGTAACTGAACAATAATTTTTAAAGTCATATTGCAATTTAATGTTTCAAATAGTTAATGGTAACAGTAGCACGATTATATATTACAAGCCGACCCGCGGCGTATCATACGCCGATATTTAGTTGTTCTATTTTCAACTTTTCAGTCATTCATAATGTGTGAATTCGACAGTTTCAACGCTGCCACTGAAAATATTTGCATTAAAACACTATCAGTAGGCCGTTAAGAACGATATTTGCATGGTTCAGGGACTCTTCTTGAATTTTTTTTTCAAAAGGTTCAAAATCGTTCACAAATATTGATAAATCATTTTTGTATTAGTAGATTCAGTTGGTAAGTGTTTGTAATAAAAAGTACTATAGAAATACTTGTTGAAATTTTCAAAATTTAGTTTGTTGAAACAAATTAGTTGAACACATTTATTTCACGATTCACTTTTTTTTTCTTTTAATACACTTAAATTATACATGATTGATTTAAAATATATAATAGTAATAGACACAAGAGAAGATGGTAAATTACAAAATGTTATTTTAATAAATATACACTAATTGCTACTGTATTATGTTTTCAATTAAATAGAAGAAATATATCTAGAAGAAAAATACCTGTTCGAGCACAAGTGATTTGATATTTAAAATTGGCATTATTTTATCATTTCAACATTCAACAATAATTATGATTACATCGAAAGAATCGTTTTAAAAAAAGTATATGATGGTTTATTACTGTAGAATCATAATTACTATTATAACAATTATATTTGTGAATGTCTGTTAAATTATGTTGGCGAAATTTAGGCTCCCTGAATCAGATGTATAAAAATCTCATTTTATGCTTCTCATTATTATTCGTTAAAATCATTTTTATAGTAAAGTTATTTTCCGATATGCTAAATGTAATTAAAGTATTTATTATCAAAACAAGTTATGTTATAGCATGTATATTAGAAATTATAAAATTTCATAACATGATGTCAGTGCTCTTCAAGTTTATTTGATTATAGTAAGTAATTGGTAAGTAGTTCAGCTTCCCAATAGTTTAAATCAACATCAAAATATGAGACATGGCAACATTCTGAATTTGTCTTAGTTAATTTGCAGACATTATTTAACTGTGAATTTAGACGTTTTTGAAAAAAAATAATATAATCTCAATGCAATATATGTATTTTTTTATCAGCGGTAGAATAT